TTTTTTTCACATTTCTGGCATAACTAACTCATCATCTTACAGTGGTAAAAGTCCCAGAAAAAAATCAATGTTGGAAAATTTCTCGCGCGAACGTCCTTAAGACAAAAAAAGCTTACTGCTGTACGACCGTACTACATAGGGCCAAAACAACCACCGTAGCAATGTCACAACGCCTTGTATGAAATAATCAGAATGTCTGTAATTCAAAGATTTGAGACTTTAATACTTAATGACACAATTAAGGCATGAAAGATTTATTACCCTCGAAACCCCTTGCTCTAATTAGACGTTTCTTTATATTAAACAGTTTGTAGCGGAAGCATTACTGTACGGAAACTACATTCCTTTCTATAAAAACCTCACCTTATTTATTTTTATTGTAGTTGTTATTTTCTTTTGATTATTTTTGCCCCTATATATTCCTATAATACTTTCCTAGCTTCTTCGACAATCTGTAGGGGATTTCCTTCGTGCTTAACACACACAAAAGAGCCTGTTGTACGACCATGCTGATAAGTCCAAAATAATCACCCTAGCGATGTGAGCGCTCTCTAAACGAAATAATCAGAATATCTTTACCTTAAAGAAAAGAGATTGAGACTTGAATACAAGGTATGAGAGACTCATCACGCTCGAAACTTCTCGATATACAACAGGTTGAACAGTAGTCAGCTAGTTACGCTCAAAGTTGATTCCACACTTCTTTCCGTTTACTGTCACATTGGAAATTTTGGATGTGGAGATGGAGGATGGACACCAGTCATGAAGATTGACGGCAACAAGGTACGACTCAAATTAATTCAGTTTTATTTCAAACTGAGACGAAAATTGTATTCAAAATTATAATTTAATTGCTTTAAATAACTGTTCGCCAGTTTAATTAAAGGTATTTTAGAGATAAACCAATACTAAGCTAGACGAAGGCGAGATATACATACGTACTGTAATAACACTTTTAAAAGGCTAAAAGTGTAATCCCCTTAGACCTTGAAAGAGTATTAACATGTTGAAGATGTATCACACGTCTTGTTCATCAGGAATGCCAGGCTAATATTAGAAGTACCTGGCATCTTGTCTCATCATATTGTATTACGAGACCACATGCTGATAGGCTATAGAGATGTTGTAGAGCCCAATTAACTTCATAAGAACACAATGGTGTTGGAAGGATGTAACGTAGACAACAGCCATTCAGAATTTTCGTCTTCATTCTTACACAACTCTCTAATTACGTTCAGGCTGATCTGCTCGCCACTTTTCTTTGGTGGAAGCAAGTCTTCTGTGACGAATTAATCAATTAGTGACTAAAGAGAGATAGTTACACCTCGGCGAGCAAATAAAAAATCTCAGAAAGCATTTTTAAATTCTATCTGTTTATTGTATTGCTACCGATATATATTTCTTTCTTGCTAAGATAAGAGCGAAGGGAAAGTAAACAAAACGACTACAGCTTAAGATTGGAATTAACCTCAAATTTCAGACATAATTAAAAAAAAAAAAAATAATAATAATAATAATAAAGGAACGAAAATTGTAATTTAAAAACGTCTGACCTTACTAATGTTTCAAAAACATCATATATTAAGTTTAAGCTTAAGGCCTGTCCTAAAGGGAAATGTTTGGTGACCAAACACCATCAAACATTGTTTGGCGACCAAACATTTTACCATTTGGCCACCTTGTTTGGTGCTGTTTAATCGTGTTTGATCGTGTTTGGTCGTGTTTGGTCGTGTTTGAAAAAAAATTGAAGGCCATCAAACATTCGATTAAACAACTTAAAACATTTCTTTTGTTCTCGTGTTTGATGGGCGATGTTTGTTCGTTTAAACAGCCGTATCAAACATGTTTGGCGCACGCATGCGTCCCACGCTTGCTCAGCGGTTTGTGTCCATAGTTTGATCTGTCTTTGATCAAACATGTTTTAACCGTTTGGCCACTCACTTCAACATCAGCATGTTTTGGTCACCAAACAATGTTTGATGATGTTTG